ATGGCGCTGCCTTGCAGCTTAAGGCTAAGAAAATTTCGACGCGGCCATCAGGGCCTGGTAGCATAATTGGTCAGTGCATTCGCCCGGATTGCGAAGGGTGCGGGTTTGGGTCCCGTCCGCTGCCTGGTCCGCGTGGATTTTTTTCTAGTAAAACTTTTCTTAACAAGTGGAATACCTAATAATCTAGTTAGTTCTCATTAACCGTCGATTCCGGCTACATCTGCGCCGTTAGCATCATACACCAATCCGTACAGGGCCCGAGTGGTGAGTCAGGACTCGTTCATTCCTATTTTGCAACGAATACCGGTGCCCCAGCAATGTGGATTTTAATAGGATGACCACGAAGTAATCATCAAGCTTTAGCAGAAAAAGATTTACGACAGCTTGACTAGCTGCATAAATCATAGCTAGCAAAGGTACTAAATCTATTATTTCAACGTTCACAAATAGTCAAAACCCTAGGTGTGAACCGCAACAACAACCAACAAAAGAAAAAGAAATCGGAACGCGAACTTAGCTATAAAGGGGCTGACATCCGATCTAATCTAACCACAATGGTTGCGTTCGATACCCAAAACATCGGCGCTATTCTCTAATGAACGCCTTATTGTGCCCGTCCAAACAATCCCACTGTGCTCATTCACCAAAGATAGCTGCGTGTAATGGATCCGGAAAAGGCACGCGGAGCGAGCCACAAAAGCGCGGATGCGAACACCGAAACGATTATTGAGCTAAAACTCAAAAGGTGTCGTGCCCCGCGCCCTCCCCACCCCTTAATGACGTAAATTGAGCCCAGCACTCTTTTGTTTTGTTTCCGATCACCGCCGCAATCCGCTCCTTATTGGGTTACCACCTTTAATCATTGTCGCGACGATGAACCGAATCCGAGAAGCGCGCTAACGAGCCGTAATCAATAGACGTCACCGCTCGCTGACTGTGTAATAAATACTCCTTTGATTCGATCAAATAAAAATGAGTAATTGAACCCCATTGATCGTCGCCCTGAGATCGGGCAAGCTGCAGTAGCTTTATAGCATAGTATAGCTCACTCTGCGATACTATAATCTGCTACTTGTAAGAAGGACGTTACATCAAACAAGTTGTGGATCGGGAAATATCCTGTTTTGTCACTAATGATTTGAATACTGTTAGTTAATTTGAAACAATTGTAACCTATGTATGTGACTGACTGATCTACTCTCATGCTAAAATCTTATAGTGGGTCACTATATAGATTTACTTTAATAAAGAGAAAGCAGGGAGCAACTAAAGATTTCTGACTTTTTCTAACAAAATTATGAAAAAAATATTATGATCATTGTTAAGTGGTCCTTAGACCACAAAACCAGGGCCCTTGCTAGGGGGAGGAGGGAGCGGAGTAGGTAGGATTATGGTGCAGCCTTAAACAACGCTTCTGTTGAGATTTATACAGCTAGATCTAAATAATTCCATGCCATCATCCACTGCAAATTTTGGGCTACCACGAAATTTTTTATTATACATTCATTTTTTAATATTCATTGATGATACAGCGTAGCTATGTCATCAATGAATATGAGAAAGAGTAAAGGTTCGAAGTGAGAGCTTTGAGGGACACCTGATGCCTGATGCTGCCTAATAGACCTTAAACTCAAAACCACTAGCAACAACCGCCTGGGGTCTCTTTTTGAGCTAAGACTAAAACTAGTGAAAACGGGAACCCTGTATCCGTCTTGAATGCAGCTTTCCCATTAGAAGGGAGTGGTTCACTTTGACAAATGCACTAGCAAAGTCGGGGTAGCATTAATTTGATTTCCACCTCATTTACACTATCTGTTTTATGTGCAACTTTAGAAAGAAATGCCACCAGTTTTACTTGAGTTGAACGAGACCTGCGAAAGCCGTGTTAAAATCAGTTAGTGTAAGTTCTACTTGTAAAGATAGATAGATAGATAAAACTTTATTCACACCAACATGCACAAATACAAAATTGAAGACAAATTTTACAATTATATACTTAAATCCTTTAAAACATACAACAAATTATATTTATACAACTATACTGATATTTTCGTGTGCAGCAGCGATGCGAATGGGCGAGAACTCAACGTAACATTTACTCCGAGAGTAAATCGCTGATTTTCAGTTCTGACCCATAAAGATGAGGTCACGCAATTAAATGTCAGATTAAAATTCACAATACAATAAACGAAATTAAAATTAAATTAAATACAAAATTAAAGTAAACATCATAAATGATGCATATAATTTTGAAAAAGTAAAAAAATAGAAATGGCTTGACTCTTTTTAATGTCAGTCGTGTTGCCTTTTGACGTGACAACGTCTTAAATTAGGTTGCGGCTGGGAGTCACTTATGAAAAAATGGTTGCCTGTAAAGTCGGTTTTACGGGCGAAGATTTTACGTGACAACGTCTTTTTCTCGGTAGAATATTTATTGATATGAATATAATTAAATTGCACAATAGGAACAAGGAATTGAATGAAAATAAGAATTGCACAAATTTTAACTATAGAAATATATTTTGTTTACTAAAACATTGTACATGTAAACTTAAACTCATCGTAACGTTACCGAGCGTTACACTTTTTCATAAGTGACTCCCAGCCGCAACCTAATTTAAGACGTTGTCACGTCAAAAAGTGTAACGCTCGGTAACGTTACGATGAGTCTCTCGTGTTAAGTTTAAGTTTACATGTACAATGTTTTAGTAAACAAAATATATTTCTATAGTTAAAATTTGTGCAATTCTTATTTTCATTCAATTCCTTGTTCCTATTGTGCAATTTAATTATATTCATATCAATAAATATTCTACCGAGAAAAAGACGTTGTCACGTAAAATCTTCGCCCGTAAAACCGACTTTACAGGCAACCATTTTTTTTGTATATTGGCACTATTTTGGCTTTCCATTCCAAATATACCATTCTGAAGGGATCGATTAAAAATCTATGTGAGGGGAAGCGATAAATACAAAAAAAAACTTAATAAACAATAGAGGAATTTTGTCCTCCCTTTTGTACATTAGTTTTCTTAACCACATCGGTGACATTAAATTTAGGGATGGCTCCGCCAAGTTCGGCTTTGGATAAGTTACAGCGGCGCGCGATCCGCATCATTAGCATTAAGGAGATTTTTAGGATTTCATTATCTATGGTCGTATGTTCATGTTGTAATCTATGTTTGTACTGGCAACTTTCTCCCTCTGTTGCGAACGTGCCTCTGAAAATATTATGATGTGGCGATACTAATTTAATATTGTGATTTGTAAAAGAATTTGTAACAATTAAACAAAGTTTTAATGATCCGGATATTTTTATTCATGAAATAACAGAGATGACTAAATATATTTTACTGTGATGTGGCGTGATTAAACGCATTCTATCGTCTATAGTTTAATACCACACGAGTGTTCTGAGGAGTTATTCTCCCTTATCCCATCTTCCCCTTTCCTTCAGAGGATCACATGCACTATGCACTGGCCTATGTAACCTACCTGCCACTGACCACTATTGCAACGAGAACAAAGAAAATATGGTGACTGATTTCTTTATTGCACTATTCGCGAATTGACTGCTTTGCCTGCTCACGTGTTCCCTTCTTTCTACAATCTTAGTTCCTTTTGAAGAGGCGTGTAGAAGCAATGTGCAGGCAGACCGGCAAGGTTAGAATGGCTGATGTTGCAGGTAATACTGCAGAACTAGCTATATTCGTGTCTGGACTCCACCGTTACTTAACATCAGGAGAGGTAGACCTAATTATAAAAAAAATGAGTTACCAGCATAGGCCTCACTCACAGCTGTGAAATAATCTATTTTTTGGATTGGCATTGAATACTTGGATGAACGTAAATAAATGTCATTGCCTTCTATAGACGGAAAAAAAATAAACTTATTTATTCTTTTGAAAGTTTTTGGCGGGATTTATCGAATGCGGTTGGCACTTACTTATTCAGAGGGTTGGCATCTTATTTTAATTATTCTTAAATTCATTCAAAGTGGATATTGTGAAATAAAATTGGTGTGTTTTTGTGTTACGACCGTCTGCACAACTGAGGAATTAACGGAATCTTTAAAATATACGCTATACCAAACGATTATAATACCCTAATATCAACTATGAACTTTATTGCAGTGTTGACGACCTCACAGAAGCTTGTCGAGAAAGCTGAGTCGATACATTTTGTGCCAAACACTCCAAGAAACATTAGAATGCGTCACACCACAAACTAATGTAAAAAAAGGAAGATTAATATAAAAATAATACGATGGCTTGGCTTTGCTTTTGCCTTTCCCAATAGGGCAAAATAGAACTAAAAAACGTAAACTTTAAGTTTTTGGCGTAATTTCATCGGGTGCGGTTGGAGTCTTATTTTAATTATTCCTATTAAAAAAAATATTAATTATTTTTATTATTTTAAAAATCCTCCAATCATACTCACCGACAGGAACATAAAACGACCTGACACATCACCATAAGTAGTTTTTACTCAGTACAAAGACTTACGCTAAACGTTTATTATTCCTTAATTCGTTCATAGTGGATATAGGGAAATTAAATTGGTGTGATTTTGTATTCAAACCGTCTGCACAACTGGAGAATTAGTGCAATCTTTGTAATAAATAAAGACAAATCCTTGAGAAAACTAGGCTTTAGTCAGCATAAAAGACTGCACTGACATAAAGCATAAAGGAATTCAATGACATACGTTAATATTACCAAAAATTAAAGAGTAATAGGTAGAGATAAAGAGATTAACACATCAATCTTTAAAATATACGCTATTCCGGTCAAGAGGACATGACAACTTTATTGTAGTGTTGACTACCTCACAGAAGCTTATCGAGAAAGCTGACTTGATATATTTTGTACCCAATACTCTAAAAAATATTAGAATGCGTGACCCACAATCTAATGTAAAAAAATGTATGGGTATTGTTTTCTTTGCCTTCCTTAAAGAGGAAGAACGTTACAAAAAATAGAAACAGAACTGTCAAAAAATCTAACCTAAAATTTGTAAATAGATTTGCGCGATTTGTAGTTTTGTTTTGAAGTTCTCTGCTTGTGATAATGTTCAAAGCAATAGTAAATAAACTGAATCCTTTACAACTATCGTGTAGTTTCCACACGACAGCATGTTTAAATGAAGTAAGATTATTAACTCGGCTCAGAGTTGTGGATAATTCAGAAATAGGAAAAAGAGCCATGTCAGAGGGCAAACCGCCTAGAGTTATTTGTGTTTACAACAAACAACGTAAGTAACTCATCGTGATAAATTGAAACCTTCAAAGAATATGGAGTCATTAGTCTAGAAATAAAAAAAATACTAGGGGCCTTAAAAAGAGTTGAAGAGAACCTTGCACTTACTCCCTTCATCTGGGGGCCTTAAAGAGTTTTGAAGAGAACCTTGCACTTACTTTGTTCTTGCTATTTTGGGACTTTTCTTTACACTTATTGTTGGTAAATTCGTTGATTATTTATTGTTACCTATTTGACATTTTGTGATGGAAGTTGACCTCATGTTTGTAAGTTTAATGGGCCTTCAATTCCTTAGCCTTCAATTTGATGACACTGTATGAAATAAAACAGGGAGAAAAAAGCAGCCCTTGCTGAGTTTCTAGCTGGTTCTTCTCAGTACAAGGTGAACCAATGGTGTAATTTTCGACTTTCATATTTGCTTGTAAAAGCCTAAACTGAATAAATGATTTTTAAAATTGAATTGAATACCTTTACTTACATCATAACACATTTAACATATTATGAATGTGAATCAACTTAAATTTTGTCAATCCGATAAAAGAAAATCATATTTCTACAAATTTTTTCAGGTGTTGGATACATAGGCGACAGAGTCTTGGTTGCAATAAAAGGTCAAAAGAAGAAAGGTATCTTGGTAGGTCTCAAGCAAACACAGAAGGTGAAAGTGCCGAAGTTTGACAGCAACAATGTGGTCTTGATTGATGACAACGGCACTCCCCTTGGCAACCGCATCCATGTGCCTATCCCCACAATACTGCGCACCATTCTCAAGGAGAGAACACATGCTAAAGGAGCAGATTACACCAAATTGTTAGCAATTGCCACCAAATTTGTATAGTACAGTAGTTGTAGTTAGTATAAATAAATTATTATCATAGTTTAACATTGTGAAATTTCTCAATTAAACTAAGTAGTCTGTATTAACCCAGATACTCCTGAAACATTTTGTAGTGTCTGAGAAATCTATCAAATAACATGGAAAAAATATTTAAAACAATTACACATACACTGAGTCGATAAAGCACTTTATTATCGAATAACATGAATAAATAGTATTTTACTTGCCAACATCTTTTCTAATATTTTTTCTGTGTTGTTTTAAAATGACAGTAGTATAGTGGGTTAAGTTGGTGTCTGATGATAAGACAGCCCTAGCAGAGTAATATGCATATTGGTCAAGTACAGCATTGATAACAGCGGTGAATCATACATAGGTGGAAATTAGATTTTAAGCACTCTGGAGAAGTATTCTCCACATTACAGCATATTGAATGCAACATACTACCTTTTCATATTGTTTATGTTGTAAAGTAAGGTTTAGCGCTCAATGGGGTGGGGTGATGGAACCTGGTAATACAAGCCGATATGTGGGGACTGCTAACTAGCAGGCAGACTGTAATTGAATTTGTGAATGAGAACTGGCCCAAATCAGTAATACCAAAATGTTACTAAGAGTTTAACTATTTCAGAGTTTCTGTTTCTTAAAATAATTGCATTTTGCCACTTTATACAAACTCACCTGCAAGGCCACAGAGAGATGTGAGAAGGAATATGGGAACATAACAGATTTTTGCTTACAATTTGGGAAAACAACCACAAGGCGATGGCCTTACAAAACATTGCAGACTTCAAAGCCCACTTCTTTAGTGCTGATGAATTATGATTATGTTTCCATGGGGTTGCTGATAGGTTTAACATATAAGGTTTACAATGATTAGTACCTCAAGTGTCTGTAGGGTACGGTAGCCACTTACCATCAGGTGGGACATGAGACTTATACTTTTTGCGAACTTTTTTACAAGAAAATAATTAAAGAAAAAAGCAATTAAATTTCAATGTTTAATAAAACTTATCAGTTCCACTTTAGAGTAGACTTAATTAGGACACTACCCAGTAATGATGGAGATGAGCCAATGTGTAATCTATAGGCTTGTTTGTGACATTATGCAGACTTAAAAAAATGATTACTTGAGATTGTAAAGTTTATAAAACAACTCAGTTTAAATGAGAAGAGTATGATATGATGGTCTCTATTTTTTTTATTATTTTATAATTACCAATTTTTTTGTTTGTGCCCACAAAAAATGGACGATTTTCACTAATGCTGTCCTCTTGTAATTAAATATCACAAACAAACCTACAGATTATAATGAAGTCCTAAGTAGATTTAAACAGGTATTGCATATTAGCGCCGTGCTCGCGCTATCTTTAGAATAATATTCAAGCATTTACAGGAGTGTGATTCTTGAGTGGATAGCCTTACATTAAACGACGAAAATTAATTACAACAGCATAATCAGTATGAACATTTTAAACCACGCTGTCAACAGAAAAAACATGTGCGTCAGACATTCTTACAGCTTCCGTTTACAATGAAGGATTACATTAAGACTGTTAAAACAACTGCTAGGTACAAAATCTAGAGGAAGTATTCCGCTATTCCTACCCGGTTAAGGCTTTCCAAAATCCGTGTATTGCTACGAATGAAATGTACACAGTTAAAAATCGAACCCATGTTACAATAAGAATATAAACTATTAAATTTAAACATTCATAAAACACTATCAACAATGCCACGTGACGCGCGAACTCGCGCCGAGGTACGCTAGGAGTGTTAAGTATTATGTATCCGTTGATTGATTCGCACAACAGCCGTGACTAGATTACCAAAGATTCACGTGAGGCCGCAGCCCGAGCGCCGCCTCACTCGACAGGACACTGCTGCCGAAGGGACCGCAGATTATCCAAACCTGACTTCTGATTCAAAAAAATGGTTTAATTTTAACCCTAGCATCAGTACCGCGTTATATTTAACTTGTTTTTACCTATAAAGCTCAATTGTCAAATTACTAAGGACTTTGACAGTTAGACGCGAAAAAAACGTGGCGGTCATGCTACGGGGACTGGAGTCTTTTTCGACATAGTCGATTCGCTTAGATATTTCATTAATTTATTCTAGACTAAAATATTAAATACTGAGATTACGCAACAAATCACTTAAAATTATTTAATCCATTTGCTCTGTGAATTGACATATTCGCATCCCTTCGACCGCAATGTAGTGGACCCAAATATTCCAACGCTCACAAACCATCGATCGGGAGGTGGATGATGGAACGAAAGCACGGTTCTTCTAACGCTATCGCTACGAAACTCGTCTTTAAATTCACTTACTGCTTAGATTTATTTTTATTTAAAGATTAAAATACATTAAAATAACACAAAATAAAGTTCATCCATTATACACATATAATTATTTGTACAATCGTGTAGTTCGTTTCGAAGGGAACTAGTCGGACGTAGGGAGGTGGTAATGACACGTGAGATTCCGTAAAGCTGCGGCGGCGGCGCGCGGTATCACTTCAGCGCGGAGACGACCTGCCGGACAATACGGACGCGGATGACGGACAATACGGAGGGGAGGGGAAGGTGAGGGGGGGGGAAGGGGGGGGGGGGGGACAATCGCAACATAACACACGTGCATTCGTCAAACGTCGATCGTTCAGGTATACTGACACCGACACCGTGAAGTAATTTAAACCGTCACCATTCCCACATTCACACCGAGACGCTAAACGCTAAATTCAGGATCTCTATATTTTATTATCGTATAAAATACAGGTAAGGCAACGAGATTTGTAAAGATACCGAGGGTCGCGAAGACGCGAGGCTACGAGAACCGCTACCGTGCATCTACCCGCTACCGTGCCCCCCGCGCCCGCCCAAAACAATCGTGTGTACAAATAAAACACTAAATAACAATATCAACTTAAAATACCACAACAAAAACTATAATAATAAAAAAAACTAATAATAATGATTTGACTACGATAAAACTTTCTCTAATTTATGTATCTATGTCTGTATATATAATAATAATTTGTAAACATATGTAAATCTTAAGAGATAAAATGTAAATGAATTACGATAGAGGCGCTTTTTCGGTCGCGGCGTACGCACTGGTGTCACGTCACGGGTTCAATGAACCGTTGCGTTCGGCGTTTGCCCAACTACCCACCACACGCTTACAATATCTCAACAAGTGAACAAGTTTATTTTGATGACCTGATCATTAATGTTTACATAAAAACCGAGAATAGTACTTACCCGTAACAATTAGGAAGCACCAAGTCCATATGAATAAACAAAATAATATTTTTTACTTATCTTATCAAATAGCAGTAAGAATAACCAATTCATCAGTTTCTTCAAAACCAGCGCAATTTTATTAAAATTATACTGCTTTGTTGTTAAAAACTCCGATAATCCTGTGGTTATCAATCAGCTCCAAAACATTAATAAGTACCTACTTAAAGTTGAAAATATATCACCATTTTTCAACTCTCACACGAAAAGATTACAAATCGCTCGACATGACCAGCGTCCATTATTTCGAAACACTCGCGGTTCAATGAATACGTGACTCTACTACCCAAATAAATTGACTATTGACTGACCGAGGACGGTTTACCCGGAGCCCGCCGGGGTGTACCAATCTCATACAGCGCACAGATAAATATGTTGGAACCTTTAATATGGCACTGGCCGACTTACATACGATCGGCATCGTCACAACTTTCCAGTAAATGACCAAAAACGCATTTAAAAGGACAGAAAGATAACTATTATTACAGCTCAAGATCTGAACTTATTAAAAATAACCGACTTTATAATTATTAGCTATTATAAGTGTCGTACGCCGCGAATCTTCGAATGCGCAATTGAATAGTGATCTAGCTAGAGCGAGAGGTCGCACGTAGGAAGGAAGGAAGAAAAGGGGCGATTAGACGTCGACCACCATTTTCTTGTGTATGTCGGTGTTGCCCACCACGTTGCAAAACTCCTCAAAGGAAATCTTGCCGTCCTCGTCCTTGTCGGCGAACAGTATCGTCTTGTCCACGATCTGCTGCAGCTGTGTGTCCTTTAAGTTGTTGCCGACCATCATCTTCAACACCTGACAACGACGTTAAACTAATAAAGCATACTCGAAACTAGTTATATTCATCATAGTATCTTAACAAAAAATAAACATTATTCAGACAAAAAAAAACTAAAGAGGCTCTAATAAAATGCTGGCGAATATTCCTAACGTGTACGCAATCGAACAAAGACCGATTAAAAAAATATTTATACCGATTAATAAAGCACCAGGCGGGCAACGATATTTACACAGACACCTGTCCAAAAGGTACATTGAACGATCCACGAATCTCTGTAGGATAACGAAGTCAAAAACAATATAAGGCATTATTAAATCATTCAAATTAATTATTCATTAATGTATAGTATACAAGGTGTTAACTCTAATGCATGCATCGAAGAGTAACGACAGTTTGAAATGCAGGCTCTTAAAATTTTACTTTTTTGTGAATATAGACTTTATTCCTATGACTTTATATCGTTATTCTCAATGCAATTAGTAGGCACGGACTACGGGGGGAAAAGACGGATATATAACCGACCATGCATTTATTAAAACAAAATTTGCTTAAAATGCATTACATTACATTGATTTGATGTCGAAAAAACGACACTATGAAAAATAAGTTTTTTTTTTATTTTTTCACTGAGCTCTGTGGCATGTTGACATTGTAAAAGTCCGCGCGGGATTGTAAATCAAGAAGTGCAATTATCAACCGATCTCGGAAATATACCGTTTCAAGAATAACTGAATAACATAGACGCAATAAAAAGTCACTACGCATAGCACCTATACTTTTACGGCCGATGCATTATTCTGTTTGGTCATAGTCAGAAATGTTCTAAACAGTGTGGATGCTATTTCTAAACGACTGTTATGCTAAAAGCTACTATGTTATGTCCTCACCTGGAAGAGCTCTCCGTTAGATATGTAGCCATCGTTGTCCATGTCATAGATGCGAAACGCAAACCGTAACTTGGATAATTTGTCGCCCTTAACGCTGAACTGCGACACTCCCTGGATAAACTCCTTGAAGTCTACCTGTTAATCATGAACGAGTGCAGTTTAATCTTTATAATAATAATAAAAACACTATTGGTTACAAACAAAAATATATGGGTTAAACAGAGAAAGTAAAAATAATGAGTTAAAAGCGATCTCTTCCAGACAACGTACGCGGTTGCTAAACGGAAAACTTATCGTATGCCAGCAAAGTAATTATTTTTATTGAAAATATTCTTCTCAAAGTATACATTTTGTAATTACATTTATTGTAATTATTTGTTGTCATTATATTTATTTACAGAATCATAAGAAATATTGCTTTAAAATGGGAAATGATTACCTCGCCGTTGCCATCTGCGTCGAAAATGTCGATGACGCGCTGCACGAGCGGATTCTGCTGCAGCTCCGGCAGCGACATGAACTCGTCGATGGAGAGCGCGCCGGAATTGTCCAGATCGAGCTTGCGGAACCTCTTGCCCAGCCGCCGGATCTCGTCCGCATCGACTGCCGCGTGCCATCACACACGCTTATTAGCATTAAGACACCCTCATGCGAAACCAACACTTGGCGCCCAACGTGGTGCTCACCCGTTTTATAACTAGTATTTTGAATTAATTGTTATATGTATATACGCTAATAGTTGTTTAATACAGTCGATAACACACCAAGTTACCATAATGTCGCATTTTTTTTCAAACGTTTGTTGACCTTAGCAAGCAGCAAAGTTGAAAGTCAATTGGAAAAGTTGAAAGGCTTATGATAACTTGCCCTATTGCTGACTGTATGTTACAAAATTTCTTGTCGCCCTTTAGTTGGGAGCCAAATGAAGAGTTTAGGTGTTCTATGAACTTTGAAACTCTACTTGTAAGTGAACTCTAGCGTCATCTAAGTTCGCACAACTGGTGCTTGCAGTGACTCCTGTTATTTCCTTACAATTTCGTTAAAATTCACTTATCACTTGATCTCTTGCTCTAATTGTTTCTTGGTGATTATTAATTTATTGAAAGAAAATATAACAGCTATCAATTCACTAATAATGATCAAAAGAGACAGACATTTATTACAACTAACTGTACCTATTACAGCAATAAACAGATTTTTTGCAGCTTGTAACAAAGTTGTGGTTGAAATAACTACCTATATTAAAAAAATTAACTTAAAATTTCAAGAAATCTTTGTTACTCACTGTACACTGCACTATTATATAAATATGCATATAAAGCGACAGTTATATTATACACGAATATATTTTCAAGTGCATAAAGCATTAAAGCATTTCATAACCTTAACACCTAATTTTAACTGAATTCGAAAGAACAAACAACAACAATATAATAGTGACGGGTTCCCGTCCCGCCCCCGCGCCGCCCCCACTTCTAACGATTGTATAAACACACAAACAGCCGTCGACAGGCGCTGACACCGAAACAACAATACTAACAAGCCGCAAGAAAGGTCAGCCGTAACACCACCATGTCTGACCTATTACTGTTACAGCCACACGACAGCTGCATCAACAATGTTACAGTATAATATTCAAATACAAATCAAGGTTGCAACATGTAACAAACTATAAAACTAATAAAGATAAATGTCTTGTTACATTTAATCATCTATACAAACATTTTAATAAATATTACATGCAGTACATCAAGTTATTACAATTGTTACAGAGACAACCTTGTCTCAGGCGAGCGGAGAATAGAGTTATACAGCTGACCTCTCCCATTTGCATAGATTCCTCGCACCTGAGTGGCAGCATTGTAGCAATCTATTTTAACATTCATAGCAAGTACGCTAACACACCATTTCCACTAGAGGCCAAAATGTGACATAAGATGCACTAACCAAACAAAACTATGGAGTTTATGCAAACATGTTTTATCCAGAACAATTTTCTGACAACTCAGCATCAAGGTGGAGGAATTATGCACATTTATTTTTAGCTTCATCATTAAAAACTGTTCCAACTGCACAGTAGATTTAAAGCTGTCTTTTTTTATTCAGGTTGTTGCGAGTCATAGGTAAGAAATAGAGACAAGAACATAAATTTGCAAAAGAACAGAAGTTTAGTGTCAATAAATAAAAATATAAATTTGACAGCTGTTCAGTTGAATGAAACTTTTTAATAATATAATACAACCTTCAGCAGCTCAGATTTTTGACACAAGAATAATTTCTCTATAAGTATTGTGTTAAAAGAATATTAATTATTGGAATAGAAAAATTGTTCTGGACTAGCAGGTGTGAGTGCAATACTCTAACATGGAGATGAACATTGGAGGCGGGCGAGTGACACTACGACACTCACAGTTCTCCACCTTAAAATCAATGCAGTTAACACGTGCTGAAAACAAATCTCTTGTTACGGTTCATTTGCATACCCTATATCTTACATTCTTATGTGGTCCTCACTATCACAACGTACTGCCTTTTACGTTCTCAATTAATAGGAGGAAAAAGTCAGCCATACTTAATGATAATACATAGAAAATAGAAAGCGTTAATTATTAATAATATAATAAATTAAGGAATTGTTAATTTTTTAGGTATTATTTTTATTATTGTTATCATCACACAAGCATGTTATAATACTTATGAATGATTATATTGAAGGCAGACAAGTACAAAGCTGTAAAACCTCATTGAAAATCAAAATTAGTAAAATCATATAAGAAGAGGAAATAGCAGACTGGTCAAAGTAACTGAATCAATAATACTCACAATTTGAACATAGTTCCATCGGAATTGAATTTTCATTTCCCTGTAAGAAATCATACAAATTGAACCACTAAAATAGAATTCCGTAACACAGAGTAATAAAACAAATATTAGCAGAGCAAATATTACTTTAAACTACGAAAATCGCTGTTCACGATTAGTTTTTTGGGTTCAAACATTTTCTATTCAACGTGGCACTCGTGTAATTTGCATAATAAAACATTAAAACTGGTACCTAACTTGAGTTTATTTCGTATTTCCAAAATGTGGATCTCTCTAACGAATTTAATAATTTTGCAGTGTGCTGGATCAGAACAATAGTATATTAATTTCCTTTACTCACCATTTTGCTGCGTTTATGTGTATGGATTAACTGTAAAGAAAACGCTGATCCCAATCACAACTATTCACAATCTTGCAAAATTTCTTGAATATAAGGCAAAAGTAATCATACACCACCAAAACCCATCGATCTAAATAAATCGCGCAGCAGTAGTTTTCTTCTTTTTTATATTCTCCTTATGTCTATTCTGGGTCTGGGAAGGTAAAGAAAATAAACTCATACAGCCTGATTTTCCTAAATATAATATTTGTTCTTTATGGGAAGGCAAAAAATACTGAGTTCCTACAGGTTCATCATTTGTATTTCTATTTTTCACTCTTTTTAGTTTTACTATGGCATGGGTGTTTAATTCTTTCTAATGTTTCTTCATGTGTATGGCACAAAATGTAACATATTCACTTTCTAGATATGCCACACTACAATAAAGTTCAAAAAAATTATATCATGCGAGTTCCCACCGTGCTTCCGAATGCACGTTAAGCCATCGTTTCAGGCTGTTATTTGCAGTCGCTAGCACTTACTCCATTGATTTTTCATAATGTCGTATTGACTGTACTGCGCAATCAAATACTCATCTTTATTTTTCATTTATTTGGCACTTTTGTGAATTGTGAACGTCATCACGTTGACTACGCTGCCTAAACACATAAAACAAACCTTGCAAACATGACAAAAAAATAAGCATAGTACAAAATAAATAAAGTAATTAATTACTTTATTTGTGTTGCGTTAACAACAGAATTACTCAAATCTTTAAATTAAGATAAATGTTATTTCGGTCAAGTGGACGCATCAGTTGGCCTATTCGGCGACTGTTTTTGCCAGATGGAAGTAATCACCGAGTTAGTTATGATCCACTATAGATCCATTATTGCTTTATAATAGCGCAACTAAAATACGTGTTCTGAAAAACATCGATGGATATGATGCCCTCCCCCTTCCTCCCGGACCGCGAAAGCATACGGTCGTGTTCACTGTGTTTCCGTGATTAAGTGATAAATTGTGCACCGAGTACCAGGAGCGCTTAACACACAAGAATTTCTCATTGCACCGCATCATCCGACTACATAGACTACCAACTGCGAAATGCATCGATTAACAAGAAGCCCACCTTCCAATAAAAATTTGCAACACGCCAGTTCTGATACGGATGTCTCTAAAGTGGGAGAACAGGTTAGTATACAACAAACGACTAACCAGCGAAATAAAAGGCGCAGGGAATCTTGTGAAGAACACACATGTGTAGTATTAAGGAGAAGATGAGGCAGATGTTGTTGGATTTATAGGAAAACCAGAATATAATTTTAAACAAACTTATTGCAGATATATCCGAAATTAAAACTCAAAATTCAACATACTAACTTAGAGATCGAAAAATCCATGGAGCTATTGTCATCTTAATATGATAATATCAATAAAAAAATCGACTTTCTGGAGAGCGAACGTAAAAAACATTTGTTGCACATTTCTATGCTTGAATTAAAAATAGAAGACATACAAAGAAATTTGAAATCTGCTTCAGTTGAAATTAGAAATCTGCCTATAGAGAATCAAAAAGAACCCAAAACTAACCTTAAGAAGATTGTCATGGATACCTGGAAGGCTTTGAATGTGACTGTGCAAGAAAACGACTTTAAAGAGGTCTTTCATGTAAAGAGTAAATTGGGTAAATCTACAATAGTAGCAAACTTCACAAGAAGTGATGTAAAATATGAATTAATCAAGATGGCAAAAGACTTTAACAAAAAACATCCTGATCAAAAGTTTAATTCTACTCATTTAGGACTAGAGGGTGCTCCTACTCCTGTGTATATCTCTGAGGCTCTGACTAGTAAGGGACGAAGGTTATTATTCCTTGCACGTGACCTAGCTTCTGCAGAAGATTATAAATACTGCTGGACGTCCAATGGAAAAATATTTATTCGCAAGACAGACAACTCACCCCACATCGAAATCAAAACCGAAGCTGATCTTGCCAAATTGAGAAATTCACAATGACTATATTGCTATTTTTCGTATTGCTATTTTTTGTGTTGCTATTTTTTGTGTTGCTATTTTCTGTGTTGCTATTTTTTGTATATTATTAGCCGACAGTGTTTTTTTATCACGCTTACTATATATGTCAGGCTTATCAGGGCATATTGTAATCCTTCTGTCGATACTGCTTGCTGCTTTAACATGCTGTACATCACACTCACAAACTCACTATTATCACCAAACGAAACTATATATGTCACCTCTTATATACGCCACCTTGATTATTGTGATCAGAGTGATCGGATATTGTTATTGTCATGGTCTCTTCCTACCAAAATTCGATTCTATAGTCAATATTAACATAGAAAATACTACTAATGAAATTGATGATATCTCTACTGGTGAATCGTACTTGTGCAACCCAGAATCTTGTAAAACCTTAATTAACCAAAGTAATTATTCAAAATCCTTAAAAATTTTGACTCAAAATATTAGGAGCATTAAACCGAAATTTTGACTCATTCAAGGTGCTTCTCTCAAGAATTAATATGGCATGTGACCTATATATACTTACAGAAACATGGAATGCTAAAACAGCATCATTCCCTAGTCTGTCCAACTACGACACTTATTTTACAAAAAATAACAAAAACCAAAATGACGGGCTTGTACTCTTTATTAAAAATGGTAGTAAAAGTACTTTCTATAAAACGAATGCAAATTCTGTCATTATCGCCATTTATCGATCGCCATCATCTCGTAATACTTCGGGGTTCATAGAGTCCCTGGACAAACTTCTATCACAATATAAATCTTATCATAATATTATTATAATAGGAGATGTAAACATTGACGTAAAATAAATAATGAAGATAACAACTCGGCAGAATATTTAGACTTACTTAGCTCTCATGGTATCTTGAGAAGCCATGCTTATCCTACTAGGGGTAACAATTGTATTGACCATGTTATGGTAAATTCAAAAACACCTGTAATCACCCTCGTCCTTAATGCTCCTTTGACGGATCATTTTATTATTTATTTTTATTTATTTATTCCTTAACAATATTACATTGTGTTAGAAGTACAAATTTTTGCACATTAATAAAAGAACAATTGATAAAATAGAATACTCTGACCAATAACTAAAATATAAATGTCAATAGTTTAAAAACCCAATCAGTTAAATAATAATAATCAATAACATTGCATAATTATTGTTATGAGAATTTAAGAATATTGCACTTTCTTAAATAAATTAAATTGATTAAAAAAATACAATTATAATCTGACTAATTACTAAAAATATCAATGTCAATAATAAAATATATATTTTTTTTGTAAATAATCAATGACATTTCATATTAAAATTATAATAATAAATATAAATCAAAATGTCAAACTTATAACCTATGTGTAACAAATTCCTCAACACTATAAAAACATTTTTCCAACAAGAAGGTTTTTAAACGATTACGAAATAAATTAATTTGTACAATTAATTTCAAATAGCTGGGTAAACGATTATATAAGTAAATCGCTTGATATCTAACACTGACACAACAACTAACGGAGACAACATTCAATCTAGGTACCACTGAACTTGTCAAATCTTTTCTACGCGTCTGTAAGCGTTTAACTCTATCCTGCGACATTTCATATTTTTCAGGAGTCTTAATCATTTATGGTAACAATTCATAAATATAAAGGCTAGGGACAGTCAAAATTTTTAAATTCTTAAAATGATCTCTACAGGATTCCCATTGTGGAATACGCATTATAGTTCTTATAGATCTTTTTTGCAGAACAAACGCCTTATCTATATTGTACTTATATGAATTCCCCCAGAATCGTATACTGTACCTTACGTGAGACTCCACCAATGCATGGTATACAATTTTTAGTTGTTTCATTGTTAATCAGTCACGCAGACTTTGCAAAGCATAACAAGCTGAACTTATTTTACTCTCAATTTTATTTAATTCTATTCTCCAGTTAAGATCCGAGTCAATAAAATTCCCAAGAACTTTACCGAGTCTGTAAGTGATACTTTAGTATTATTAAATGTGTCATTTAAATTTTCTTTATTTTTTGCTGTAGTTCTAAATAACAGAACATTAGTTTTATTAGTATTCAAAAAAAGATCGTTGACTTTAAACCAGAAATTAAAAGCTGATAATGCGCTACCAATTCTTATATTCAAGTCTTCGATACTGTCCCCAGTAACTATAGCATTAGTATCGTCGGCAAATATTGTTAAATTTGTATTTACTGTACTATTATTAATATAATTTATTAAGTCATTAATTAACAACAAAAACACGACCGGCCCCAAAATAGAGCCCTGTGGTACACCTTTATTAACCTTCTTTAATTTAGATAGCGTTAAGCATAACTCGTCCTTACTTTTATAAGTTAATTCTATAAACTGAGATCTATTCATTAAATAAGATTCAAAAAGTTTTAGAAATTTCCCCCTAACGCCATAATGCTCAAGTTTCATCAGAAGAATTTCATGATTTACTAAATCAAATGCAGACCTCAGGTCCAGAAACAAACCAGCAACTCTCCTTTTCTCATTTATTCATAAGACGTCGTTTCATTACTTTTTCGAAAACTTTAGATAAAATGGGTAAAAGAGAGATGGGCCTATAATTCCTAGAATCCTTTCTGGAACCTTTCTTAAATACGGGTATAACTCTGGCTATTTTAAATTGATCAGGAAACACACATAGCACATATTGAAAAAAATCGATATGAGACCTGCCAGTATGTCAATGTTATTCTTAACAATAGATATCGGCCAATCATCGTAACCACAAGACTTTTTATTTAACATTTTATTAACAATTTTACAAATTTCAACCGGAGATATTTGTTCCCATATTAAGTTATTTGTTACAGGTGCTATGTTTTCTTTTAAGATATGTGCTGCCAAACTCCAAATAAAACCAATATGATCACAGTAGAAAGAGCACATAGAGTTTTGCTGAAGGTTATGACATACAATCCGTATCGTTTCCCAACGCGAGTGTTGTACGCACAATGTGATGTGCTCATTGTAAGACAATTATTTGTTTTACAAACTATTCTTGAACAACACAAAAAACTTCTATACATCTCGTCACATATTGTAGCACGCAGAAGCAACAGAATTTGTCCACAACTAAATTTTAAAACAGCTTTC